TGTTTTGAAGTCCCATTCACGGGGACGTTCGTAGTGAATAGAGTGATTAGAGTGAATCCAAGAGCCTCGCCACCCACTTAAGTTCGCGTCTGTAAGGTCAGTCACGCAATTCTTCCCATTCAACCCTAACGGAAATACCAATCTTAATAACCCTTCCTCCACAAACTTAAGAAACAAACGTTCGTTGGAAAATTTAATATAGGATAAATTTAGAATCGACGCGGGTATATTTCAGTTCAGAAATCAAATAAATAAACTATAAAAAGACTATAAAATCTTTAATCTTAAATTAATTTAAAAAAGCATAAATTAGAGAACAGAAAATTAATCGTATCTGCACGAAAATCGTCAACTATAATTTTGTCACGTATCGTCTCGAAGAGATTTTAAGAGAGAATAATGGATTCGGGAGGACTGATCTTAATGATACATAATGAAACGAGTGGAATTTCGTTGGAACTTTTTAAAAATATTCCCCTCCCTTGGGGGTTGATGAAGATATTCAAATTGAGGGTGTAACGCGATACGAGGAACATCGTACTGAAAATTCTATCTAAACTTTTCGAAATTATTTTAAAAAACGTGTAAAATTTCTTTAATCTTCTACCCTTCCGTTGAAACCGTAACAAATCTTATTTTTTTATTAAAATTGATCGACGTAAAATTTCCTGAAAACTTCTAAAAATTGTACATCCTATTTCCTTCCTCTTAAAAAGCTTTCCTTTCTCTTGAAAAATGAAACTTGATTTATGAAAAAAGAGAAATGCAATAAAATTATCATAATTACACTAGAAAGAAAATAATTATAACTTATATATCTAATCTTGAGAAAGACGATCACATCGCACATAACACGATCGTACAAGTCTTCCTGGCAATTTCCATTCGCTGGTGAAGACCTAGGAGTGGCAGAGCACGATATCGTTTGAATCCAACTAAATCTACCGATCAATACAGGCACAGTACACAGAGAGAAACTTTTCTCGGATGGGAAGGGGGGCGGAGGCGAGATGATCGTTCGCATTTATTATCAGCATCGTTACGTTTCTATCGGTTGGAGATAAATTAAAAAAGATAACGTGACATAACGTAGGCACGTAGCTGTGTAAGCTGACACCGTGAGCTCATCGTTCTTTCAGCTCCGCGAGACGAGCGTACCGCCCACTGCGAGACAAAAAGGACATTCTTCATTTGACGAAACAAGTAGAACAAAACTGGTTTTCGCAGAGAATCTCATGCCAACGAGTGGAGGCCGCGTTTCGTTTATTTAATAAGAACGGTGATTCGCCTATTCACGCTTCGATCATCTCTTACGGAATCATTAGAGAGGATAAAGAAGACCCGGTCGTATGCTTGCACGTCTTAAGCTTAATAATTAGGAAGATTATTCTTCGTAGGGATTTTTATTATTAAGAGTCTGTTCGTTGATCGATTATTATGAGATCGATTTTTTTTTTCTTTTTTTTTTTTTTTTTCTTTGACGAGAGATGACTCGACTTTTATTCGAGCAATTTCGTAAAGGTGTTGACTTTTAGGTATCTGTATTTGAAATAACGTTTAACGAGGTAAAAGGAAGCGTGGAATATGAGTAAAATCAAGTGAGGGTAATTGGAGAGGGGGATTGGATGCGAGTAGGTAATTAGATTTACTCCGAAAATTTCCTCAATTAAGAAACTTCCACGTTATAGTTTTCAACGGAGAGATGGTAATCATTTTCTGGCGAAACTGTGTCTTTGCTCGGGGAAAATTTTGAACAGAGCAGTAATGGTGGAACTTTGTGTAAAATAACTTCTTCTAATATCCAAATATATATATATATATATAAAAGAAAAGAAAAGAAAAATTGAAATAACAATTTGGACAATCTATTCAAAAATTGAAATACATTTTTACCAAAAGTTAAACAAGAATCAAAAACAACGAAACGAAATAAAAAGTTTCAGAAGAAACGAAGAGTCCAATCCATACGAGTTTTCGTATTTCGAGATACAACATTTTTTGAAATTCGATATAATTTTTTTAACTCGAGCAAAACGGGTTGAGAACCTCTGTCTCCTCGCGTCCTTACTCCTTAGTCGGAGGATCCGCGAAGAGGCGCCACAGGGATGTCGCTGAGCGAGCTGTCCTCTCGTCTTTCAGCCACTCCCATTTTCAGCTACCGAGTTACTGCCACTCTGTCAATCTCACCTGACAGTCGCGTCCAAACGAAGATACACTCTCGACAATGAATAACCCTCGCCATTCACCTTGTCACCGGGAGGAGAGGAAAAGTTGCGTCGTTTGTATCCCACGATATTGCGAACGCGATCACTCTTGAAAATTAGTTCTACGAACTCGTTGAATACTGAATTTCAATGGGCTCGCCTCTTTCGAGGATAAAGAAAGGGATATTCGATCGGATATTCGAGAAATTTCTCTTCTTCGAAAGTTGGATTGTAATTCGCTACTCAGGATGGTGGATTCGAAATTATTTATAAAAATTATCGCGTTTCGATAAATTAAAAAAAAAAGAAAAAATTAAAAATACGAGCAAGTTCCTCTTTGAAGAACTCTTAGGATATTACAATGCGATACTGGCACTTGGAAATATCGTATTTAGCTTCATAACAGGCGCAAAGTAAAGCCAACGTAATTCAGGGCTTAAAGTGTTAAACTATGGTTCAAAACCGTGTCTCTTCACTTTCCGACGTAGTTTGCATGTAATTCTTGCGTGAAATTGCCTTTTAAATATTTACGTGCAATTGCTAGAACGATGTCTTTTTGTTCTTTTTATCTTGAAAACCACCCCTACGCAACAATATCTTGTGCTTCGGTATAAAATTTCACAAATTTATATTTCATTTTCATTTCACCTTTCGGCCTCCTCGTCGAAAGCTTTGATGAAAACTTTTCCAAAACGCGTTTAAAATGCGCACACGTTATAAAACTCTGTAACCGCCTCTTTCGAGTCAATTACGCTCCAATTAAATTTCACCCCTGCGTGAAACCTGTCCACGAAACGAGGGTAGAGAATCGCGACGATTATTCCTCGATAAAACCATTTTCTTCTTCTTCACCTATCCCAAGGATTCGAGGGGAGGTTGAGGTAGCCCGGCCGTCTCATTTGAATAAGACAAATGAAGACATCCGGGAGACACGCGGCGAGAACGATGAAGCCGATAGCCGAGATTGAGCCGAGGATCACCTACCGTGTGTACGAGGCATCGAACCGTACCGATTGATTACGATCGTTACGAAGACAATGGTGGATACGGATTTGCTCTCCAACGACGACCATTCCAACCTTGGAATTATCTCGAACGCTCCATGACTAAGAATCGTTCGAGTTTCGTCAGCCTGAAAATCTATCCCTTTCCATCATCATCCACGCCTCCGTTTCTTTAAGTCTCGCACAGGCTAATAGATTCGAACTTAATCATGATAAGATAGAGTGCAAATTAATTATGCAAATACCCTCCTGTTATTATTCCTTAATACACGTTAAGAATAAATCTCATCTAAAATCTCGTCGAGCTTTACTTTTCCTCACTTATTTCCCGATCTTTCTTTCTCAAAAGCGACGATTCCTCTCGAATCTCTCGACAAAATCTTCTCGACAAGTAATTAGATTTCTCTAACATCCAAAGATCTCTTTCGATATCCTCGTCGATTTTAGTCGAATTAAAATTCGATTCGAAGAAAACACGATTCGATTAGGCAACAATTCTTTTCCAGATACAATTTGTGTTGCGGGCGAGGCGACGTGTTAAACGGGGGCTGGAAAGTGGCTGCAGGTGCTGTTACGTGGTTCGTGACTCGACGCGTTAACCCGGCAGCGTGGCGGTTTTCGTGGTGGAGAGCACGCGCTTCTCCTCCCTGTTTGCGAAAGGGTAACGTTTTCTCGAGAGAGCGACGCGAAAATGTATGTAATTGAGATACGAATGTGGATTCTTCGAGATAGCCAAGCGGTGCTGCGCTCTCGAATTGCCGCTCTCGGCTGCTTCTGGGTGGCTCTGCGTTGAAACATGGCCGGGATCGAGATGATCCCGTCGCGACGGAACCGTTATCGCGGACAGATATCTCGGGGAGAGTATAAGTTTGTTTACACGAAACAACTACGTTTTGTACAAGAGTGACGATATTTCCTCTCGACTCTTTCATTTTTCATCCTATTCTCGAATGGAATTTTGTACAAAGCCTGTTGTAATATATCCCACTAGAGAGAGAAAGAGAGAGGGAGAAACTGGATTTTTCCATGGCGCAGGGCCACGATTCTTGATAAATATTTCTCGAAATGAAATAGCGAACAAGCGAGGAAAATATTTCAGCTTACATCTTTCGAATCGATGTTCACAGAGTAGTTGAAAAAAAGGATAGGTCTTCAATTAGAAATAATTGCCTCCATCGAGGAAAGGAGAAAAATCTGAATGAATGAAGGGGATGATCGATTTTAGTCATTCTTATAATTACACGACATCATTAATTTGGATCAATTATACGCTTATTAAAATTCACGAGAACGATAGAATTATCGAGCCTGCATGGAAAGGATGTAATGTACCTCAAGAATCCGTATCAAGTACCTCTGTTGTAACTCCATTGTTCCCCCCCTCGCCTTTCATTTCTACAATTTCATCATCGCAATTAAATCCTGAAAGAGAGTCATTTTTCTCGCCAAGAGGAATCAACAATCGACCCTTACCGCTCATCTCATCCCCCTCCCCCCCTCGCGCGCGAGACGACAGGTGGAAAAGAAGATTTGCCTCGATCAGAGGGGAAGGCGAGAGCGTTCGATACTGCTTCGAGACGCGAGCTTCGCGGCGCGAATGAATCGTGTTTCCGATTGTTACCGTGTATAAAACCGGAATGTATCCGAATCCACCCCCCTTGCGGAGCGCGAGGGGTGGTAGGGAAGCGAGTAGGGGGTGAGAAGAGGGGGAGAGCAGGACGATGGGGGTGCAGGTGAGAAGGGAGGGGATGGCAGCGTTTCTGCGCAACTCCGATTCCGCGTTTCTCCCCTGTCCCTCGCCATCTGCTGGAAGCTGGACGAGTGAGGAGATGTATTGAACAGGCTGAATGCGCGTGCAGAGATGCGCGAGTATCCGCGAATTCCCGGCAGCACGGGGCCGCAGTCCGCACAATAAAGAAAAAAATTGCCACGGAGTTGGAGGGACGGAGAGGCGGAGAGAGAGAGAGAGAGAAAGATAGAGAGAGAGTGCACACCGTCCTAATCCTCCTGGACGCCGAAGAGGCAGACTCGATTAATAGTCACGGTCGCGAGAAGAGAAACGACGTCGTCCTCGTGCGCTCGGGATGAGACGGCCACCGTTGTTACTTTAAGCGGAGCATCCGGAACGGAGAGCATCCACACCGTTCAATGGGCCACACCGCGTCCGCCGATTATCGTCCCGAGTGAAACACGTTTTCTCAATTTGTGACGCCGACGTTTATAATATAAATCGTAATAAACCCCTCCCTCAACGCTTCTTCCATCCGTTGTTCCTCGTCGAGTCGAGGCGAGGCGAGGCGAGGCGAGGCGAGGCGAGGCGAGACGCCACCTCTGTTCGCGCGTGAGTCGAGTTCGTTTCGGTGGATCGGGAGCAGCGGCGGCGGCAGCAGCAGTGGCAAGAGGCTAGCTAGGAAGCTAGCTAGGAGAGAGACGTTGGATGAGAACAATGAGACCGGGCGGGATCCTTCTGTTGCACCTACTTCTTCTGTGCGTATTTTTCCTCGCCTCCGAGGCGAGGCTCGGTCAACAGGCAGCCGACGACGACGACGACGACGACGACGATGACTGGGACGACGAGGACGACGAGGACGACGAAACGGACGAGCAGAGTTATCAGTCGAAGCCCGAGGTGGACGACGACGGTCGCATATACAAGAACCCGAGGAACTCGCCGTCGGCTGTTTGCCCCAGGGACGAGGGCCAGGCGGATCTGTTGGGTCAGAAGTGTCTTCGAAAGTGTTCAACGGACGAGGATTGCAAGAGCAAGAAGAAGAAATGCAGATGCGACGGGATTTGCGGGATGTCTTGCATCAAGCCCGAGAGAGAGTGTCCGGTGCTGAGCGACATCCAGCACGGTGTAATGACGATGACGGGGAAGTTGTTCGGCGATCGGGCGCATTACACCTGCGATCCTGATTACTACACCGTCGGCCTGACCGAGAGAACGTGCAGGGGCGACGGTAAATGGACGGGAACGACGCCTTCCTGCAAGAAGGACGCGAGCTCGTTTTGCTCTCAACCGCCCAAAGTGAAAAACGCGCGACACAACGCGCCCGCCGAGCAGACCACCTTTGATCTGGGCAGCGACGTTCAATATTCCTGCGATCACAGGTATACGACTACCGGGATCAGGAAGGCCAAGTGTTTGATGATGGACAGCGTTGCTAGCTGGTTCGGGCCTGATATCACATGCGAGCCGAAAGTCTGTGGACCTCCCGCGGATATCGCCAACGGATGGCACGCCGGTACGTATATTTTCTTCCTTTTTTTTCTTTTTTTTCTTTATTTCAGGACACGCATGGATAGTTTGTCTGATTGGAGGGAAGAGATATCCGGATCTTTGTCTGGTGACATTGAATATTAAGATTGATAAAGAATTGATACTGGGATGAAATTTTTTGTACGAATAATTCTTGGATCTTTGATTCACTGTTATGCTTGCTGTTGTTTTATAAATCTTTATTTTTATAAAATTCGTTTCTCGAGGAATCAATAATATTTTAATGTTCTGTGTCGTTGAATTAAAGAAGAACGTGCATTATATCCGTATTTAAGAAATTGATCCCTTCTTCTAGAAAAAGATAAAGACTTTCTTTTCTTAATTCAATAAAAGTTTCGCATTGTCGTTATTCAATATACCTGGCACACTTAACACTTGTAAATATTGTCACGCGAGATCACGTTGCTTTTTGTTAAAAGGTGAATGTTACACGTACGACTGCCGGGTGTCGTATCACTGCGCGGACGGCTACGAATTGGTTGGCAAAGCGGAAAAATTGTGTTTGGAGGATGGCACATGGACCCCCAAAGAATCTCCTCAATGCGTCCAAGCAAGTATTTCTTTTCCTTTTCTTTTTCGACAATCCATATCTCTGATAGTATAGAAATAAGAATACAATATAATTATATCCCAATACATATTATTAGTCCAGGTATTCCAAACTAATGGACCGAGAACATTTTGCTATCATCCCTCTATATAATATATATATATAGAAATGACCCATTTTGTTCCAATTTTAAAAAAGTATCCCACTTTTTTAAAAAACTCTCCTCCTTTTCCTCCCTTCCACGTTCTCGTGCACTCGTTTCTCTTCGAGCCAAGAAATGTTTCCTGTTCAGGTTACAACGGTGCAATGCCCGAAACCGGAGAATCCAGTGAACGGGAACGCGGTGTACACCTCGTATGCATACAATTCGATCGTGTCGTACGAGTGCAAGTACGGATACACGGTGATCGGCGCAACGACCAGACGTTGCGGGGCAGATAGAAAATGGACCGGAAAGACACCTACCTGCCAGGAGATTAATTGTGGTTCACCTGGTGTCCTGTACAACGGTTGGATCGAGAATATCGAGGCGGGTGAGTCGCATGATGGGACAACGAAGGAAATTCTTTATCAATAATCACGAGCATAACTGTTACGAGAATAAAGAAAATCGAAAAAATATTTTTTTTACCGCAGAAATGGAACAAGAATTTATCGAGGAATTTTTTTAATTTAATATCGAGATTCGATATTACAAACTTTTAGATTAAAAATATTTTTATATTCCATTCCGCTTTCATATATTCTTCGTTCGAGAGAAACGAATTATAAATTTATTCGTGTTAATTACACTTCCCCTGTTTCAAACACAGAATATCATACAAATTATTATTCTTCTATTATTCTCATTTTTATAAATTATTAAACCATCAAAGAAAAAAAAAAAGAACAAAGCACTCACGAATTTCAAAAAAAAAAAAGACGTTCAAAAATTCTCCACTGACCTCTTGACACGCGCATTCCAACAGGTACCGGCCTTGGTGCGAGCATAATTTTCCGGTGCAACGATCACATGAAACTCGAGGGAAATACCTCGTCTGTCTGTCAGATCGACGGAAAATGGCGTTACCCGGTGCCTCAGTGTCTCGCCCCGTGCGTGGTCCCGCAGATAGAGAACGGCAACATCACGGTGGCGAGCCACGACAGGGACCACATCAACAACGTGACCGTGGTCGAGCATGGCGAGAGATTGCTGGTCTCGTGCGAGGAGAATTACGAATTCGCGGCGAACAGCACGCCGGTGGTTTGCAATAATGGCACGTGGTCCATTGTTCCGAGTTGCTCGCCGGCCAGGTGCAAGCAGCTGCCTAGATCGCCGAAAAACGGGATGGTGATAGCGCCCAAGACCGATCACGGGATGAAGGCTGTGTTTAAATGCAAGGACGGGTTCGAGATAGTCGGTGGTGGGCCGTTGAACGCCTCGTTTTCGGTCGAGTGCCAATACGGCAACTGGATCGGAGACATTCCCCATTGCAACCAAGTGTACTGCCCTTTTCCCGGTTTCATCGAGAACGGGAAGGTGTTCTTGATGGGCAACATGGGTGTCTACGATTACAGGCCCTACGTGAGGAAGGTTGTGAACAACAAGCAAATTATGTACGACTGCGACAAAGGTTACGTGTTGGACGACGGGCCCACTGGGGCAACTTGCATCGGGGGCAGCTGGCATCCCAAAGAGTTGCCCAAGTGCATCCCTGGACAACATCCCAGGCTCAGATGGAGCAGGCGTAGGAGGTCTGTGAACGAGGAGGATCTCACCATGAATTACAGGTGAGTTACAGGAAATATATTTGATTCGTGGATTTCGTTAGACGAGTTTGTGGGAATTTGAAAAAAAATGAAACAGAATTCAATGGTGTTAATAATCGAACGAATAATAATATATGATAGAATTTGTTCATATTTGAAATATAGGAAAGGAGAAATAGAATTTATGAAATTACTTTACACGTGATTATTGTAATTAAGAAAATAGAGATTTCAAAAAAGTTCAATGATAAAATCGTTAAATCTGTGCAAATGGAATTAAATCTTTTTCCAGAAAATTTATCGAGTTCTTCCGCAAGATCGGGAAGAAGTTGCTGCATCTGGAGATGAACAAGGGCAAGGAGCACAACTCGAAGCACAAACTCGAATCGAAGAATTCGAACTCGAGCCGTCACGACAACACCACGGAAGCCCCGTCGTGGAAGAAGCATTCGGGCCATGGGAACAGGTCGCGTCTCCGCGAGGAGAAGATGATCGACTTCCTGAAGATCGTTTACCGTAAACTGCAACGAATCGACGCGAGGCAATCCAACAATTCCACGAACGGGAGCATGCACGATCTCCTGAACGCCATGAGCAAGAACTTCTTCCACGTGGATCTGTCCGAATCTAGGCGAAACAATTCCGGCAGAGGTCGTTCGGACTTCGAAATACGAAATCAAAGGGAATTCATCAAACTGAAGAGGGAGTTCGAGAGAATAATGCGGTTCTACAACAAGTCGATGCGTTGGAACGAGAAGCAGAATCGGAAAGATTCGAAGAAGAAGGGCCAGTCTCACGGGGAGAAGGGGAAGAAATCGAAAGACAAGAAGAAACACCGTAAGAATTATTACAAAGGATTCTACGAGTTCGTGAACAGTTACGTGACCGAGAAGTTGTCCATGCTAGAGAATCGAAACGCCACCGAGGAGTTGATGAGAAACATGAAGATCGACAAGTTCACGGTACGTAACGGAACAACGTTCACAGTGGGCGAGATGTACGCCTTCTTCAAACATATCATAGAAGCCAAATTGAACGACACGACGGAAGATGCGACGGAAGTATCGACAACCGTGTCTTCCACGTCCACGGGCGCAACCTCCACCGCCATTCCTGGCGGTAACAGCAGCAGCGGTGGCACAGTGGCGCCACCTAGCAGCGCGTGGACGAGCAGCAGCACGACCGCGACGCCGGTGACGGTGGGGAAGGAGATCGAGTCGCGGAATAATCGATCTTCCGCGATGCCTCGCAACGAGTCCTCGGTGCTGGACAACGAGATCCCTGCCAAAGAAGGAATGCCAAAGCACCGCAGCAAGCGAATACGAAACGCATCGGAGGACAGTGGTCCTCCCCGTCAGAAGAGGAGGCTGTTGTCCCTGAACGACGTGCAGGTGGCCAACAAGGGGAACACCGACGACCTTGTCGGCTCGTCGCCGAGGAGGAGCGGGAGGAAGAGGATCTCGAAGAGGTCCAGTGCCTACGACGACGAGAGGAGCAGATTGTTCACGTTCAAGGAGTTGGAGGCCCAACAGCAGAGCCGCTCGAAACGATTCCTGCCACCGTCCGAGCTCGATAATCAAATTTTTTTAAAGAACTTATATCTCCACGCTTACGAGGACGAGTATCGGGCGAACGTGAAACGCTCGATCGTCCACGCGAATCGTACGAACGAGAAGCAGGAGCCGGCCGTCTACAGGAGGCGCAAGGGTAACCTGGACGCGTACGAGATCAAGTGAGACGCGTACGGTTTTCATTATTGTGTTGTGATAATATTTGGCGGGAAATTTACTGAGGTCATTAATAACGATATCAATCGATTTTTAGGCGAGTATACATCATATACGATAGGATTATAATCGTTGTCCCTCGTCGATGCGCATTGTAAGACGTGTATCGCGCTTTTTTCAATGAATCAATCTTTTTCCATTTGCCAAGTCTCGGTGTGTGACCCGACTCTACGGATCGGGTTCGATCATTATTCGACACTTATTCGCCGCGATGTGAGCTGATAGAAAGTGTTTTCTTTCTTTCTTTTTTTATAAGCAATGTTGTTTAAGTATTGTTTCATTTTTGATTTCTTTGTTTTTCTTTTTTTTTTTTTGTCTGATGTGATCGTTGATGGTTAAATGGACGATTACTGATGATGTCTTTTTGTATATTTGACGTGAAAAGTAGCGCAGCATGTAGCGAAAAGAATTCCCCCCGAGCAGCTTTGAAAACTTCGTTGAAAAGAAGTGGATTGAAAGTTTGGGTTTTTTTTAATGTCGGCGATATTTAAAAAGACTGATCAACTTTGAATTTTTAATTCGTCAGGCATTCTTCCTTCGGCCCGTAATATGAAATGAATTTTGAATTTTTGAGGAGAGAGATTGTTAACGAAAAATTTCATTACTTTCATTGATCTGTGATAATTCTTCTTTTGGCGAGCTCAATCAAAACACGTTCGAAGAATGAAAAAGAGAGAGGAAATAATCAAAACGAGACGACGGATTTCAGCTGCGAGGGGTGAAAATATATTTTAGATATAAAGCAGTCGCTGGATATAGATAATCGGCAGCGCGAGACGTTTATTTTCGAAGTAGTTGAACAGCTCGCATCGCAAAAAGTATTTTAAACTCTTCGAGAAATTCGTATTAGTAGAAGGATATGTTAAACGTATTTTAAGTATATCGTGGAAAACGCATTTGAAACAAAGATGAAAATAACGATTAAAATAAGAAATAAATAAATAAGAAAAAGAAGAAGAAGAAGAAGAAGAAGAAGAAAAGAAAAAAAAGAAAGAGAAGGAAACGAGTCAAGAAAATGGAACACGTTTTTGGAACTCGATCAAAACGATCTTCCGTTATATAATCGATTAAGTTTTCACGAACCGCGAGGCTGTGTTTGTTAAACTATTAATATCGATTTAAAAAAATAGGTTTTTTAACTGTTATTATCGGAAAGCATTGTGTGTGTAACGTTGTATATAATACATTCACGTTGATTTCACGTATTTCTCCTCCTCGGTTTCATACCAAAACGATAAAAATATATTATAACGTATACACGGTCGTATCAATACACCCGTCCTCGTCTCTTCGTAATTAACTTTTACTTACGAACGTTTCAAATCAACCAAGTACACACATTCGAACCATTTGTATCGATCGATCGATCGAATTTTGTCACATGTACACACACCCATACACATATTGCGAATCAAACTTATACACGACACATATTATACATACAGACACACATACACACACACACACACATTCGTGCATTTTTATGAATGACAAGCCATGAACAAGTATCATTAGTGAATAATAAGTATTATGATACGAACAATACTTGTAACGTGTACATTATTATTTCCCAAATTATCTTATTTACTCGTATTTCTTCATTTAATTTCCCAATTTTTTAAATATTTCAATTATTTCTTTTTGATTTAATTAGTTATAAAAGATTCCAAATAATCTTCATATTCAATCTATTTCTCTTGAAGTTAAAATCTCTTCCAAATCCAAACGTCCATGACGAGAATCTACCTAAAAAAAAAAAAAAAAAAATCAGAAAAGAAAAATCCAAATCAAACAATTAAATTGATTTTATATAAACGACAAATTCTCTCTTAGATTATTTTCTGAATAATCTCACTCGATCGATCGAAACTTATTTATTAAGTTGTAAATGAAGTTTGCGTTAAATAAAAGAGGACGGAGACAAAAGTGACACGCGCGCCACGCCTTGGCGCGGCAATGAAACGAATATAAAGCCGTCTCTCTCTCTCTATCTCCGTCCCGCTTCATCTAACCGAAACCTCAATTATTCCTTATAACTAAATAAACAAGCCTCGATCGAAATTTTCGTACACCAACTTTTGTGTTTATTTTAGTCTCTACCGTCCAAAGATCTCTCACAAATATCAATATATACATATATACACATATATAAAAAGCCAACAACCGAAATGTGAGTAAAAAAAAGGAAAAAAAGAAGAAAAATAAATAAACAAATAAAAGAGAAATATAATAAAACCTATCTATCATTGCTTTCTCTCACTCTCTATTTCGCAAGACGCTTCTTCACTCAGAGATCCTTCAGAGATCCAAGTCTCCGTTAAGAATTCGAAAGTTGGCGTGTGCCAGCTCCCTGAACGAATGCTCACGTATATTTCATCGCGGAGTATATTTCGATATCTGGTGGATCGATAGCGTCCAGAGTGGTAGCCGCCGAGTGGCCGATCGCTGATTATGCCGTAACATCGCAGGTAATTAAGTCTGAAAATAAGCGGAGCCTGAAAAAAAGGGGCGCGGTCGTGGAACGCGCGCGTAATTCGCGCGTATCCCCTTCCACCCCTCCCCTCCCTCCGCCTGTCAATAATCGAGCAGTGTCATTAATTACGGGCCAATTATAATTCGGCGTGGCGGCAACGGAACCGTGTCCAAGATGTTATCTGTCGTGAGGCGAGGCGGCGGCTCTCGTTAAACGGCATCCGTCCATCCGGGGGTTCGGGGAATCGTGTTAAATCGATTAATCCCACGGCCGACACGCACATTCGTTATGATAAGAGAGGTGTGCGGTTGCCACGGAAGGTTGGTCGAAAGCCGTTTTATGTGTTATGCACTCGACCGATGTGTAAGCGCGATAATAACGCAATAAAAGTGAGATAGGGGGAGCTCGAAGATCGGGAGGGAGGGGGGGGGGAGGGATCGAAGAGGATGGGGCACGCGATGATTGGTAACTCGTAATTGGGACGTGCGTTGAGATACGTACGTGAGAGGAAGAGGTTTATGGAAGAGATTTTTTTTTTTTTTTTTTATATTTAAGGAACGAATCAGCGACGTTTTCGAAGGATGTTATTTTGGAGATTTTTTTTTTCGAAAATTGAAGGGGATTGAGTGTGAATGTTTCTTTGTTTCTTTCTCTCTATCTTTTTTGAAAGGGCGTATATATAGGAGAAAGGGCGAGAAGAGGAAATGTGAGGAAATTTTGTTTTGGAATGTTCTGAAGGTTTCATGATTTTTTTTTTTTTTTTTTTTTTTTTTCCTTTGCAAATCCCATTTCAAATGAAGGGTATGTCTGAAAAAGAAAGAAAGAAAGTATTTAAGGAGATAAAAATTTAATTAAGAAACTTATATATCGAAGGATCGTTTGCATCTTCAAATTGAATCGCTTGTAAGAGAGAACGTTCACAACGAATCAAAGTATAGTTACATCACACAAACGTTGGCCCAGTTTCATACTTATTAACATCATCATTTCTCTTCCCATGCTAATGAAGCAGGATATTGAACATCGTGGCTTCTTATTGCCACGTATTATACGTATCACGAACGATAAAATTGCAAAAGACTTATGCAGCTTTCACTATCTTATGCCCGTATTATACAGCACTTCGACTGTATTTAAAATATGTTTCTCGATTATCGAAATGCATGCTAATATTTTTTTATGTCTTCAATTTCGTCACATTTTTACGTATCTTCGATTTAATTAAACGAATCTAGATCCTTCTAGATCTTTCTTTCAATAAATTTTCTACAATTTACTTTGATAAATTTTACATATATATAGATATAAGCAATTGTATTTAAAGACTAAAAGAAACGTATCGTCATTGCATAGACAAAGATCATGACGATATCTTAATAGAATGGGACATTGTTAAGATTCTTATCTTTCTTCCTTTCTTTCGATAAACTCTTCATAATTTATTCTCAAAGATTTCTTCTTCTCTTCTAATACTTTCTTTGCTTTCCTTTCCAAAGTCTGTTTTTTCTTCTTAAAATCTTAGAATCTTCTTTCTTTTTCTTCCTTCTTCAAAGTCTTTTCTCCATTAATTCTACTTTTCCCGTTCTCAGAAAAATCCACTTTTCAAATTCCCTATATAATCTAAAATTAAAAACTAAAAAACTTCCATGCTTATATACATCAAAATCTTTCTCTATTTTCGAACAAAATTTCCCATTTGTTTCGAAAGGAAAGATAAAATATATATTTACAAATTCGTGTTTACTAATATTGTCGAACAAATTTTCCATAATCCATAAACCCAAAGAAGATATAGATAGAAACGCCTCGATTCAAAGGGCAAAGGTAGCGTACACGGTGACAATACGTCCAACAAACACGGGGGCCACAAAACTAGCTCGAAATCGATAAACGTGTGGCAACGTGCTTAAACACCATGCCATTGGTACGCCTGCGCCTAACGAGAGGAACGAGGAAACGAGGAACAGAAAGGAAAGGAAAAAAAAAAGAAGAAGAAGAGGAAGAAAAGAACACACAAGCACACACACACACACACACACACACACTAATTCGTTTAGCGAGGTACGCGCCTCGGTCATTATTCCAGTTCATACGACGATGATTATGCGGTCAGTTGATCCGGGTGTTAAACGCGCTAAAGACAAGAAAGGCTGGCGATAAATGGCTGGTGCTGCTTCGACTTTGTCCTCCATTAGAGCCCTCCACCGTGTCTCCTATGTAAACTTGGAACGGTAATCTCGAAAAGTAGCGCTAACGATGAGCAAACGAAAGTCAACCGAGAAACAGGAAGCGCCAAATGCCTTCCTAGGCTGCCTTACTTAGATTGTAATCTGTTACGTGAACGATTTTCGAAATCCAATTGCAAATTGGTTCGCTCTTCTCGCTTCTGGTCGTTTATTGATAGATCGTGGAAAGTTTAATTTAATTGTATAAAGATGACAATGAGAAGGAGTATAAAATATCGAATACAAGTAATATGATATAGATATAATATAGATTCTTATTTCAATAATATTTCAATGTAATTCTGTTTATACAAAATTTAAATTTGAATAAATTTAATATTCGTAATATATTCGTTGAAGTTAATAGATATTGAAAGATTTGGTAATCTCTTTGGAATTTTTATAGTTTAAGTTCGTCCTCTTGGGGAATGGGGATGAATAAGGAGGACTCGTTAAGGTACTTGGAAGTTTATAATTGTCAGGAAGTTGGAGGAAGTTAATAGTTTCTTTTTTTTTTTTTTTTTTTTGTTTCTTGATAAAAATATATGGATCTTTTTCATGGTTAAACTTGAATTAAAGTTAATAGCTTTCTCTACTTTCGACCGTGTTATTCTCCCAGGTATCTTTCATAATTCTAAATTAAATTATAGTTAATAGATTCTTCTCTTATATTTCTCACGTAGGAAATTCTTTCTTTAATTGAAAACAAAATAAACTTTCTACAATGAACATAATAAAAAAAAAAACGATCATACATACATTCCCTTTTTTATGATTTCCTTAACATTAACATCATAGTAACAAATTAAATTTATTACATACATAAAAATTTAATATTTTGATGCACCCCTCTCACAAATTTGACATATCACTCACAACATCTACCAATTTATACCGTAGTAATCTCGTTTCATACACAGATATCCATACACAATCTTCTCCCAACTTAAAGCACACTTCATCAAATCCAATAACCCAAGCTCTCCAAACTCCCCCATCCCCGCCTAATATCCATTCACCGAAGAAAAGCTCCTTAAAAGCAATCCTCGACTCACCGAAACGTGGCAGAAAAATTTAAAATCTCGCCTCCCCCGTTAATTCGACGAGTAACGCTCGTATCACCTGCCATCGAGGAGGAGACATCCACTCGAGACGTTTGGGGAGAGCGGATCGATCCGTGGCGAGAAAGGGCGCGCTACCGTGGCCCATCCATTCGACGACGAGCCCTCGAAACGTTTCTAAAACGGCGACAATGCGGCCGAATGCCCCTCCTCCCCCCCTCCCCCCTTCCCAGTCGGCCTGTGATAATCTCATTGAGGAACGAGAGTTAAGCGGCGACGGGCTTCCTGCCAATTGAACCGGCCAAGTGTCGCCACGGAGCAGTCAATGCCGCCACGAAATTGCTCCCGGTGGTTTCGCTCAATGAAACCTGGACCCCGTTATTCCGGCTCGAGGATTTGCCTAGATAACCTTACGGAGGACAGCCAAGAGTTACCAGTCGGATCCATTGTACTTTTTCCAGAGCGAAAGGAAGGGAGGAAGGGAGGGAGAGAGAGAGAGAGAGAGAGGAAGAGAGGGTTTATGAATGAGAATAGTGGCGGCAAGAACGGCCACTAATGGATCGGAAACGCGGAGAAAGGGTTCCGGAGTCAGCTTTGAATCGCACGAGGACACAATCGGGATTGTGGTGGGATTGCTCCACGACCAAGTTTCTTGGAAGTTGGTGAAACGAGCAGAGGATCGTCTGACTTTTAGAATGGCCGATTTGCGAATAAACGAGTTTGCGGGGTGGGCGTGTGAGAGGGATTGGATGGAAATTTTTCAATGTACCATTGGTGTATATTTAC